TTGTTCTCTTGACACAGCAACAGGATTACACAGGTAAATATTAGCTTCTGAAAAAAACAGGAATGACAGAACTGATCCTCCAGCTCTGTTCTGTCTCAAGTACTTCCAAAATGAGTGCTGAGGAAAGCAAACACAGTCATATGAATCTCCAGCTATGTCTCTTTACTTAAAAAGTGATCAATTACTGAAAGCAGCAGCCACTATACAACCACACACTCTCCCAACTCCTAGAAATAAATATATATGATTAGCCCTCATGGTCTAAAACTTACTCTGAGGAATGAATCAGTAATGGTTCATTTCTAATATACCTGCTGAAAAAATGTTCAGCTTCAAAACTAAGTGACAGAATGGAGAGTGAAGCCTGCAAACAATGGAGAAGAGCAACCTCTAATGGTCACAAGGGTAAAAATGAGAGAATAAATGCTATATAAACACCCCTGTTTTACCCCACTGGTTCAATATTAAAGGAATTTCAGTGCCAGAGGGCAAATAATGTGTTCTGTGTTTTGTTTTGTTGTTGTTTTTTTTTCCTGGTCATACCATGTGTAATTTTTTTTTTCATTAATTAACAATAAGGGGTCTTAGAGTGGGGCCATTGTTCTACATAGAAAGCTGGCACTAAACTGAGGGTCAGGCACCTCAGTGTGGAGGCAAAGCAGCCTCAGCCACTGCACAGCCAAAGAGCTCAGCAAAAGGAAATCTTCCCAAACTGTGGGTTTTTTTTTTTCCAGCAACAAGTGATTTCACAAGTTTTGAAATAATAGATAGGGAAAGGGAGGGGTGTGGGAGTAGAGAGAGTGGAGGAGGATGGAAAACTACAGCTTGCCTTCAGGGGTACAATCTGCCACCTCTGCTGTTTGTTTATGCATTAAGCCAACGATTAAATCTTATCCATGTAAAATTTTTAAAAGGATCAAGATCTAGCTGGGCACACGTACAGAATCACTCTAGAAATGTTCCTCTGCACTGCCAAAGCCCACAAGAGGGTCTGAGCATAAGAGAGCATTGCTTGCATTGGAGATGAAAAGCTTCCCTGAAGGATTATCAATGCAACAGCTCCCATTGCTGCAGCGTGTTCCCAGCAGGAGGAAACAAAATGGCTTAAAAAGGACCATTCCAGACCTTTTGGATGAGTTTTTCAGCATTTTACACCAGACTTTAGTCCCCAAATCACAAAATTTAGTCCCCAAATCACAAAATTTCAGCTTCAGGGTTTTCCCATTCCTCCAACTTATAAGGCTGTAAAATCTTCAGACACTCAAGGCTGCCTTTTTTTCAGGAAGAAAAAGGATGACCATCCTCAAGTCTTCAACAAAAACAGCTAAGTAAGTGTATCCTATGGAGTCTACTTCTGTCCATCTTCCTCTCACCCTCCTTCCTAGGAAAGTTTCATCCTTCCTAGTGTGGCAAACTTACCATTCATCCAGACAACCAGCTGGAAGGAAGTGGCTTCAGAGATCTAGCTGACATCAGCAGCTCCAGAGAATTTAAGGATTATTAATTTCTGCAGGGCATGGCACCTCAAACCCAGCCCAGTCTTGCTCAGTTCTTCCTTTTTAGACACCATCTCCATCTACTGCTTAATTGTCAACCACTAATCCACACTATGCAAATTACCTAGAATTGTGCACTGCCAACCCAAACCATTCTATGCTCCCAAGTTAAATTCTTCAAAACTAGGATACAACTACTTCACAGCCCAAAATAACAAGCAAAAACTAATATCTTCTCTTTAAAAAAATTATAATCTAACTATAGTTGAGCTATGCAAGTGAGAATCCCCCACTTTATGTTCAAAAAATGACAAGGAAAGCTTTTTATCTACAGGTCAGCTAGAGGTGAGGCTCTCAGTGCTAGTTACTATTATGGTTGCCCAATGCTTGCCATTAGTAGATCCTGTTCTCAGTTGTTTATAGCTTGGACAGCACTTATCATGGCAATTCTCCACCCTGAGGCAAATATTCATCTTTGGAACACGCAGCTAAGCCCAGTCCATCCATTTCTGGAAATAAAACATGAGGAAAATGCAATTGGTGTCTGTCTATATCAGGTTCTGAGGACTTCCAGTGCAAAGGCTGGAACTGAGAACCTGCTGACTGAGCAGAGCTTGTACTGGTGGAGGAACTTCTGCACTTCTGAGAGGGTGGGAGGAGGAGGTAGAGAGAGGATGCAAAGGAAAACCCAGAGCAGGGGGGTAAAAAAAGAGGAAATTCAGGGAGACTGCCTCACTGAGCTCATGGGGATCAGTGATCAGACATGCTGATAGGAGACAGATCTAACCTGGGCGATTTTTAACCTCCTTAAGTCTTCCAAGACATCTCCCTCATGCTGCACAAGCCTCACACTCTGCACTCACCCTGCATTCAGCCATTGCACAAGTAACTAAAAGTGCAGAGTTCTAGATGCTGTCTCAGAAATGCAGAAGAAAGCATTAACAGTTTAGCTGCTCCAAAAATACCTTTCCAGAGACATGCAGGCTCAACATCTGACTTTATTGTGGCTACACTGCACCACCTCCTACCTTCTCCCATAGGTTAGCTACTTCCCTACAGAGGAAATTCTTGTGGTCCTAAATGAAGATCATTATGCTTCATATGACTGCATAAAATTACCTTTCCTTTTCTCTAATCCAAAAGGTTATCTGATCTGTGAGTGACATGCTGATTCTTTCACTGATGCCTCCCAAACTTCACCAGCAGGTGATTTCACCAGCATGCATTCACCCTCCTCTGTCTCCACCACTAACATTTTGAAAGCCAAGCCCACTCCTGCCTTTTGAAGAACCTCCCACCACTCTCAACTGTCACCTTTTATCTGAGAGATCCTTAAGTTCCTTTCTTAATGCCCCTTACTGACTTTATTGTACTAACCCACATTTTATTTTGCTGCACTGGTTGAATTCCAGTGTGGCATGGCAGAATTAAAAAAAAATAATCACTTTCCTTATTGACTTTTTGCACTCATACAAATCATTTATATTTTATTTAAGTCCAACAAAAAAAAACCCAGAAACTCTACACACTGCACACTTAAGAACTGTGCCAAGAGGAGATTTTTTTTGTTTCCTTTTCTAACTTCCTGACCTATTTAAGTTTCTTAGAATTTGGGCAGATCTGCCTCTATGCAAATACATTCACTACAACTTCTCAAAAGCAGTGGCAGTTAAAGAACTATGATGAAAATCTACAGGATATGAGTTTCTTGAGTTGAGTCTATTGCCTGCCTCAGTTAGGGGAATTAAGTTTACTCAAATGCAAGAAAATTTGAGAGGCTTCACATAAAATGAGCTCCATGAAACTAAATGGTTAGAACAGATGAGGAATTTTGGGACTGATTTTATCATTACAAATATATGTGGCTTTATCTTTAAAAGATCTCCAACACTGAACTATTTTACTATTTGGAAGTTTACAAAACTCTACTTCTACTACAAGAATTGACAGGGCTAAGCATTGGTTGGGATTTCCCTGCTAGAAGAGATTTTTAAAAGGGATTTGGGATGTTTAATTCACAACAGACTCAGAAAATAATTCCATAGGGTGGAAGGGATCTTAGATCTCCTAAATGGGTCATCTTTTGTTGTATTCATGAGCATGTTAATAAATCTTCTCAAGACTGTCTCATCTGAAAATCTCTTTGCCCATGATAAACTTCACACAGGTCATCACAACCACCTAGAGAAGTCTTGTGGTTTCTTTAACTGGATGTAGGTTTCTAACTACATAGTTTTACAAATGATACTGTGAATTTCTGAAACCACCACTGGACTTTGTCTCTTGTTGACATGACATTTGAAGTGAGGTTTCAAAGCTTTTTGATGTGGCTGAGAAAAATGAACAGGATTCTTGCATTTCACATACAGAAAGAGAACAAGCAGTCCAGGAAAAACCTCATGGCTAGACAGGGTTTTACTCTCCCCCTTGGAAAGAATGATTAATCAAGAAATTAGCATCTTATGCCCACTATGCCTTCCCCATGTTCTCTTCATTGCTTTGATCCCAGTTCCCATTCCCTCCTAGACCTTCCTCCCCATTCCCTTGGGGAAGAGTAACATAATTGAATACTAAAGAGTGCTCCTGCTACCCTTGACAACTGTTGGAGTGTTTTCAGCAGGCTTCCCAAGCCCAAATGAGAGCAATGAAGATGATGAGTAAGTCCCTGCTGCACAGGCACAGCAAGAGAGCTCTTGCAAACTCAGGACACATTTTGATTTACACTGAGTGTTTTCCTCACAACCCTATCAGCTAAAACATGCTGCTGTTTAATTTCAGCTCTGAAGAATGGCATCCTGTGGGACAAAGGAAGGCACTGGAAGAACAAGTGTCAGCCTGCACCATCTTTAGTCCTTGTTAAGCAGCAGAAAAATAGGATTGGAATTCAGAGCTGTGCACAAGTCTCAGTTCAGCTTCTGTTGGATGCTCTGTGACCTTCCAGAGGGGGCAAAATATACATTGTTCATTAACAGAAATGCATGCAACAGTTTAGCCACACCATGCTCTGTTCACCAACAGCATTTCAGGCAAGGCCACAACTCCAACTGGTTTGACTGAGTCAGGGTAAGAGATTCTGCATTCCCTCCTCAGATGAAAAGATTTCAAGCAACCAAAACACAAGGGCCTGCAAGTAAATACCACGGAGCTCTACCTCAGATTTATGGTGCTCACCAGCCTACATCATTGCTAACAGAGTACAATGACTTCCCAGGTCTGCCACAGATCCATTAGATAATGCCTGTTCATCCAAGATTCTGTTAAAAGTTAGATTTTAATTATGGCATGTCAAGCAAAACCATGTGCTTCAGCCTCCAGGTAGTGATTTCTTCCAAATAACCCCAACTTCTGCCACAGCAGTCGCTTGGGGTTAGCAGGATTTGAAAATAAAAAGTTATTCCCTTGTAAAAATCAGCCAGACCAAGGAAGAGAAGTGAGGGATGGTGAGCTGTGCTACAGCAGATGGATTCACCCCCGTGGAGTGTGGCACCACACAAGGATACTCACAATGAACCCCAGCTTTTTGTAGTCTCGGGTGTACATGGACTTGCGCTTCTCAATGCTGCCACTGCTGTTGTTGGGCTCAGACTCTGCATCAAAGGCAATTCTTCTGAGCTCAAATATGATATCCCGTTGAGCCTACATTAAAACAGGGTTAAAACAACCTTTAAAACAACTTACCTCTCATTTTAATAAGCCAATAAAAGCTGTTTCAAAACACTGTCTTCCCTCCACCACCCAAGTTTTGTCTAAATTCCCTGCTTCATACTCAGCAAGGATGACTCTGTGGTTTCCACTTTCCCAAATTCAAATATGATATCCCGTTGAGCCTACATTAAAACAGGGTTAAAACAACCTTTAAAACAACTTACCTCTCATTTTAATAAGCCAATAAAAGCTGTTTCAAAACACTGTCTTCCCTCCACCACCCAAGTTTTGTCTAAATTCCCTGCTTCATACTCAGACAGCAAGGATGACCCTGTGGTTTCCACCTTCCCAAATTCTCACATGTGTGGGGTTCACATGCAGATGCTTAAGTGTTGACTTGCAGAAGGTGGACCCACGTTAGCCAGGCCAATAACTACAGACTTAACTTCAACCACAGAAGCCAGGAGATCACACACATTTCAAATTAAGCTGGTATGAGAGCACTTTGCTGAGTGAAATCTCTGCATTCCAATGCTCTGCATTCTTTTTGGTAACTGTCCATCTTTGCCAGCACAGGAATGGGCAAGAGAGGAATTACTGCAGTAGAAACCTCTCAAGTCAAATCTTCCTGCCTCTGATTTCAGCAGCAGGAAGAGTAAAATCTCACAGCTTCTTGTTACTCGTGATTACAAGCACCCTGCTCTCCCACCTCCTCTTCTCCAAATTATCAGCAAGTTTTAACACAACTCCTTCTTAAAAATGAAATTGGGTTCCTCTTAGGACAGGGCCTAAAAAAAGGCTACAAAAAAGATTAAGGAGTAAAACACAGCTTCTCTGTGGCTTAATGACTCTATATTTAAACTTGGATCTCTTAAGGGACTGTGTCTTTTTGCATAATGAAAAATATTAAAGCTGGTGTCTGGACACAGTGAAAAATAAACAGAACTACTATATAGGTTCCCAGTAACAAAAATGGGGTTTTTTAGTAACACAAATTGACTTAAACTGTACAGCATGGCAGACAATTTTCATTTAAACATTCAGAAGGACTTTTAGGAAGGACAATACACCTCTGTTGTTCTGTGAGGTACACAGAAGAAATGCTGGACTGCTGCTTGGAGTTTTAGCTCAGGATAAACATCAAATTTAGGTCATGGAACTACATGCTAAGGAGAGAGGCCTGGTCATTTTGTGGTACTTTTGCACAAGGAATGCAATAACCAGTACATCTTCTAACAGCTAGAAAACATAGCTAAGCTTCATGGAAAGAGAGAGAGAAAATGAATGAATGATGTAAACATCCCTAGCAGTGTCTTCTCCTCCACAAAGACCTTCAGAGCAGCTGTCCTCCTGTTCTGACCAGATCACACCAGGTGCTTACCTGATCCTGGGGATCCATTTTTGTCATCATCCTGTCTTCCAGCAGGTTAAAGGTGAGCACTTGCAGCACGTAAAGCTGGTGTGCCATTTCGTTATTGATGGCCCTCTGTGCCCTGATAACATGCTGCAGAGACAGACAGACTCTGGTGAGCATCAGCTGATCAGAACATCACTTCAGGTGCTGCCATTTCTGTATGGGTGTGTTTGTTATGCAACGGTGTGTGGATATGCCAGGAAAAGATTCAATCAGGACTAATGCTACTGATTTAGCTACTACATAAGGAAATTTAAGGGAGAGGAGTTTATAACAGTGCACCAAGGTTTCCTTCTTCTAGCCACTAGGTAGAGCCTGTGCATTTCTTCAGCAGGGACATGAAAAAAATATCAGCACTGAGTAGTCACTTCAAAGATAAATTAACTCCTTACCAAGAGCATTAGAGCTCTGTATAAAAAGGAGTGTATTAAGAAATGATTTAACAGAGGAGCTGCCTGAGCAGAAAGAACAGGGGTATTGCTGCAGGAGTCCACACCATGATCCAGCCAACTCTGTCCTGCATGAGGGAGACTGCTTAGAAATAAATTTAGCCTACAATGCCCCATATGTGCAGAATTATCCCATTCAGAAAGCAGAGAGCAAACTGGAGGATAATTTTAAAACCCTGGTGTGCCAAAATACACCCAGTGGTTCTGTAGGGGTAACAGACCCAGGTCACTAAACACAGCAGTGCTTTTGGTTCCAAAGTACTATCTTTTACTACTTTATCTTTTCTATCAAGATAGAAAAATCTGCAGAACCCAGAAAAACACAGAGGTTCATTCTACAACATGGAAGGCCCTGCACAGCTTGCTCAGCTGCCATCAGTTCCAGACCTTACCACAGAGAATTTGCTACAAATCCCTCAGACAACCCCTCATCTGCACAATAAAGTTCTTATTCAGCATGGGAAGAAAATGCTTGAGGTATTATTCTTTTATTCAGTATTTTCATGAAGAAATTGCCATTTCTTTGACTAGGAAAACACCCTTTCTCAGAAGGAGTTTTGAACCCATTCAGCAGCCAAACCTTAACCTTGCATATTACAGATTTTAAAATCTATCAAAACATAAGTACAATTAAAATATATGAAGAGAAAATCTACAAACACCAAAACTGGTGTCACCTTTTCTCTCTGCTAGTGGAAAGTAACTTTGACACTTATATACTTACAGTTAAGATGATGGAGCGAAGCTGCTTTTGTGCCAAAATGTTTGCCATTTCCTGATTTAAAGAGAAAAATAATTAAGAATTAGCCAGAAGCAGGCATTTCAGTCCCATACCTAGAAGAACATTGACTTGAAAGCTTTAAAGTTTTAAAGTCAAGTGCTCTAACTTTCACTCAATAAATCAGCCTACAACTCTGCACTGTATTCACTGTATAGCAAATATTTCTCCCCTGCATTTTGGTAGCAAGGTTGACACTGGTCCACTATTTCATCTTAAATCAACTTCTCTTTCTAGACCTGTCTGAAGTCACCCTCAAGGAGAATATGCTTTTGCTGTCATTCTTCAGCAGCTGAGCTGGCTGTCCATGCTGCAAACTGTCCTGTGATGCATAGGAGGGAATAGTTTACACTTATCAAGCACAACTGTCTCATCTTGGGCCATGAAGATGATCCCAGGGCTGGAGCACCTCTCCTGTCAGGCCAGGCTGAGAGAGTTGGGCTTGTCCAGCCTGGAGAGGAGAAGGCTCTAGGGACATCTTATTGCAGCCTTCCAGTATCTGAAGGGGGCCTAGAGGAAAGCTGGGGGCGACTTTTGACATGGGCTTGTAGTGACAGGATAAGGGGTAATGGCTTCAAACTGGAAGAGGGGAGATTTAGATTAGAAACTAGGAAGCAGTTCTTAACTCTGAGGGTGCTGAGACATTGGAACAGGTTGCCCAGGGAAGCTGTGGATGCTCCATCATTGGATGTGTTCAAAACCAAGCTGGGTGAGGCTTTGAGCAACCTGATTTAGTGGGAGGTGACCCTGCCCATGGCAGGGGGGGTGGAACTAGATGATTTTTAAGGTCCTTTCCAACCCACTCTATGATTCTTCACCATACCTGCCAGTGTATCCCTCATTTTTCAGTTCCATGGTCTTTCCCATCAATACACAAGTGTGTGTGTGGACATATGCTTCCCATATGCAACACATGCAGCTTACAGCAACTACCATCCTGGCATTATTTTTAAACTCTTGCTTTCAAAAGGCCCTATTTAAGGATTTTGGATAACATATTGCACACTGCTGTTTAGACACTGTTGACATGTACACAAAGGGGTAATGTTGGGACATCACTGACTGGAAATAGAGCTCCTGTATCACAGCACAAGTCATCAATGCTGACACACTCTTAAGGACGTTCTTGGGATGAACTCTGAGTCTGTGCTGCTGGCACCATATCAAAAATACTGTTTGTGTTCAAGAAAAATAGATTTAAAATAAAATCCTGCTGATCTTTGTGAGAGTTTGGACCAATAGGGAGTGTATATTGGTTAACTGGACATCATAAACAAGGAACTAGAACACAGGAAACTATTCTATAGAACATACAAAGAAATGGATTGCTGAAACGTGGCTGCAGAAAGAATGTAAATAAAGCAAGTGTGAGGGTGAGAACTTGCTTGCAGAAAGGAAATCATCCTAAATTGTGAGACAGGAGGCAGTCATGGATATGGCCTGTTGTTCTACCACACATAAAGGGCTCTTCAGTGGAACACGACTGATGAGGAAGGAAGAAGGGACCAAGGACAAGAGTAGCTCAGCTCTAGTTTTTCAGCCTTTTCTGGCTGAGCAGGTTTCAATTTCAGGTAACAGCAAAGGAATGAATGATACAGATGCTTCCCTCTCTTTTGGAAATGCACAACTGAGCTGCAGGGGGAGTGCCAGGCATGTGAGATACCTCATGTTGCAGGGAACAGGCTGGCTGGTTTTGTCCAAGTACATCCATCCATCCATCTGTCTGTCTATCTATCCATCACCAAAAGATGGACAGGTAAAGAATATGAGGTTCTGTGTGTGTGTGTGTGTGTGTTTTTTTTTTAAATAACATAGGTTTTTCTGAATGATTTGGTCCTCAACAGTGACAGAGGAAGAAAAACATCCAGGAACCCCTCATTAAAAAATAAACCCCTTGAACCTCTTGGCTTTTTGCATCACAGAAAATAAAAATTTAAAAGGGGAGGGGAAGGAATTCAGATCCCAGCAGCAGCTTACATCTTTCCTTTAGTCATCCACATCATGCTGGTCCCTGTGAGACAGCCACAGAGAGGGTGCCCAAGCTTCTTAGAGTCATACGTGGGGTTTGGTGCAGCTTCTTATTCCTAACCATGTTAGCAGTGAGTGCTGAACCCTAACCTGGGTGTTCCCACCATCAGCCAGCTCCATGAGACTGCATCACCTCAGCTCACTGCCTCAGAAAGACAGATTTCAGCTAATGATTCCAATTATCCCTGTCTTGAAGCTGACACCCACCTTCTTCAACATATGCTTTACTAATTAACCACCAGATAGATAAAAAGAAAAACCTAACAAATTCTGACTACTTATTAGAGGTTATTGAAGGCTGAAGGAACTTTTCTGCTGCTGTCAGAGCTATTACCCTTCAAGCCAAATCAGACTATTATATTTTGCTGATTAATATTCAAGTCTTCTCTACATCTGATATTGTCTCTCAACGTCAGGTATGATCAAAGCACATTTTACACAAACATAAGCAGTTGCAACTAGTTAAAAAGTAAAAAATGAAGTGCTTGTTTTTCTTACAAGGACCTATCACAGATTTATGCCAAAGTGAAAGAGTTTTTATTCCAATTTTTGTTCATTAGGTACCTTTGTTCCTTCCCTAATAATTGAAGACTGTATTGGAGGAAGGAGGAAAAAAGGAATGGGGAAAAAAAAAGGCTTTTTTTATTTTCAATTAAACCATGGGTTTATTTTCCCTGTTTGCACTTTTAAAAATATTTTTGAATACAAAAGGAAAAATTTCCCATTAGGGCTTTGATGTTTGTTTAAACAATCTCCAGCACTGAAAAAAGTAAATAAATATAAGGAAAGTCCTTGTCAGAACTATCAGCAGCTCTCAATAAACTTCTTCTGGACACTAAGAGTATGTCACCAGAAGAATTATCATCACTGCTCCTGGTGACAGAAATGTTAAATCAATAAATGACTCAATCTGTTTTGACCCAGGCTAATGACTTCATAAACATGGATAGAGTTTCTCTATTTCATAACTCATCCCATTCCATCCTTATTTAACAGGAACTAGCAAATCTGGAAATATTTCCTTTTGAGGCTGCTGATCTCTGGCACTAAAGTGAACTGAAAATAGCATGCTATAAAAGTCATGAAATGCAAAGCAAAATATTTCCATTTTCAAAAGGAATGCATATTTTAATAAAAAAAATTGGGGGGGAAAACCAGTTTACTTAAAAATAGCCTGGTTTTACAAGCTGTGCTGGCAAAGAGCTCAGTACAATAAATATTACAGCCAGCCACAGTCAATATGGTTCATGGGAGGTTACAGGGAACTAAAAGTACAGAAGAATCCTTAAACCCTACTAATATTGGAGCAAGAGGGAAGAAGCTCCACTAAAATGAATGATACAGCAGCATGAAACAACAGAACATGTTTCAGTTTGAATTAAGTGCAAGGAAAGCACCACTGGGACAACTGGAGGGATGAATATGACACATTTTTCCCATGGTTATGTAGATACACAAGACCCAATGACTTACCTGCCTCTTGTCATCTGGTGCTTTAAGGAAAAGTGCATTTATTACAGCAATGGTATAAGTTTGGATTTCTTGGTCTGTCCTGTTTGGAACAAAATTATAAACATGAGAGAAGAACATGAAGAGACAGGAGGCTGTAGAAACATCTTCTAGTTGCTCTACTGCAGGTAGAAATGGAAAGACTCTTTGCTCTTCATGTTAACCATGTAAAAGTTGGTCATGACCAGGTTGTTCCTATCATCAGGAGAGGCAACATGTCCCAGGGGCAGACTCAGCATTCAAGAATGCCATTGACCCTTCATAGCAGGAGCCAGACAACCAGTTTGTCTGATGCCCAACAGCTAAAGGTAGGAAGAAGAATCTTCCCTGAAGGGTTCTGGAGATAAACCTGCTGGTATTAAAAGCTTTGCAGGTGAAGGGAAAATGTCCCAGCTAGGAGGCAAGTGTAACTACACACAATATGCCACTCCTATGCTTTTTTCCCCCAAAATGCCATGCTCATTTGGGAGGAATTAAAAAAGAATCCACCCTATCAGGTGGCAGCTGAAGACACTCACCCCTGCAGATGTGGGATCAGCTGCCCAATTGTGATCTCCTGGGCCACCTTCTGGTACAGGTCGTGGCTATTGAGCACCATGGACTCCAGGATGGCCAGTGACCGTTGCAATATAGAGATGTCAGAGGCAAATTTGTTCACGTAGCTCGCTATCTACAAATCCAAACGTGGAGAGGATTGTTATCTTGCCATGAAAACGAGGCAAAGAAAGAAAGGGAAATGGGGATGGGGCTCAGAAAGGCATTAGAATAAAAGTAGCTTTTTCCACGTGCCATGTATTACTTGAAGGCAATCCACCAGGCAATGTAGATGCCTTCAAAGGACACAGCAGCACAGATCCTTCAGCTGGCACAAGCCACCATAGGTTCATGTCAATATTCACACCCCCAAAACATATGCTTCCAACATTACATTATGGACATGATAAATCAACATTAAACAACAAGAATGGTTAATGTTTTTTGTGAGGAAAACTTTTGAAAGGACCAGGAGAATATTTCTTGTTCTCTCCAGTAGCAACCTGTGCAGCCAGTTTTCTCTGAACAAATATCTAGGCTCAAGGCAAATGTTTCAAAAGAGACATTCAGGTGTAGCTCTCTGGAGAGAAATGCTCTAGCAAAATAGGCATTTATTTCCCCCTCCCCACTACCAACAACACTGAAACTCTCTCCAGGTTACAAATCCAAACTCTGTTGTTGATCCTTCACCAGCACAACTGTCTCCACAGCTCTGTCTAGAGCCCAGTCTTGCTAAGTGTTCATGCAGTTAATAACCCTCACCCTGCCTGCAGGCTGCCAGACACAAACAGCACATTAATTAAAACCAGCTCTGACCTCTGCTGGGTTTTTTTTTGCAGTGTGGCAAGGACACACCACACACTCATCTGCAGAGCTGACACAGCCACACAGCAAATTTTCCCTGGGTTTTCCCTGAACGTGCCAATAGCAGCACAGCTGAGCTGAACAGTGCCCAGGGAAGCACAGACAGCAGAAATGTTGTGTCACCACAGTTGTGTGCTCTTCACAGCCAAGCCACTGACTACAGCAACCCTGTCTCAAGTTTGATGTGCTTGCTTAGACCTTTCCATCCTTTCCCTTCTGGAAGAAGAAGCACAGAATCATTTTGGTTGGAAAAGAACTTTAAGGTCATCATGTCCAGCAGTTAACCCAGCTCTGCCAGGTCACCCATGTCCCTCAGCAGCACATCTACGTGGCTTTGAAATCCCTCCAGGGATGGGGACACCACCACTGCCCTGGGCAGCCTCTTCCAGGGCTTGACAACCCTTTCTGAGAAAGAAAGTCATGCTCTATTCTTGGAAAAGCTGCCTGTAAAATTCACAGTTAAATACTGACATGTGGACAACAATGTTGTTTTACACGTGGCATTCTGAGCAGTACTGAAGGAGCAAAACTCCCTTCCTGCAACTTTGACTGGAGATGACAAGGAAAAAGGGACAGATTTTTCTTCCTCTAATCTGTTGCAGCAGTGTGGTTTGCTCTGCTACTTGGCTTGTATTACCACAACAGGAACATCCTCTGCTGAGTGTAAATTTGGGGAATACACACTGACTTTACAGAACATCAAGAACCAACCCTATGCATGCAGAGGAAACAGGAGGAGAGAAGCAACTCTTCTAGCCTTCTTCTGCTCTGGACCTTCAGTACCTGCTGCCTGCAAGTCCTGGGCTCAAGTAATGCTCACATCAGTGTGTTATGCACACTGTGCTGTTCAGAGGAACAAGCTGTGTCTCAGAAGCATTGTTCTATCCTACCTCTCTTCATGGTAATCCTTTTTTTTTTTGATGCACTGGAGCCAAAGTTGCCAGATGTCCAGAAAAGACAACAGGGGCAGCGTATGCACAGAGCAACTCTGCACTGCTCACACAATAAACCAAACGTGCTCTAGATGTCATCAGGCATCCACAGATCAGTTGTGCAGCAGGAACACGAGGTGGCCAGGCTGTGTCCCAGCTCGTCAGGCTGCTGTCACCATCCTCTTCAGAAGCCCTGACGTGTATGAATTATCCTCAGGGGCAGCAGCTTTTGGCTGTGACATTTCAAGTGGCAGTGTAAATGCTTCACTGGGCTATAACAGAGTCATATCAGGGGCCTGCAGAAACCTCACAGTATAGATAAGGGAAACCTCAGTCTAGGACAGGCTGCCTTAGATGCATTCATTCTTCTGATCCTGGACTGTAATTACTCATTAACACACACTCAAGGTATGGAGCTGGCTTGTGTGTTTACAAAGCCAGGATGTGTGACACTAAATATACATGCAAAATATCTGCTAGGGAGTGTGCACGTGGAGCTGTGTGTATTCAAAGCCACCTTGCTGAAGCATGAACACTGGCCAGAAATCACAGGCTGGTCTACCCTGATATATAAGGCATGTCAGCTCCAGAGGGAGAAAATTTAGATTAAAAAGAAATTCTATTCCCACACTTGAAGTTCTGGATGTGGGGAAAATAAAAACAGACCCTTCTTGAGAAGAATCAATACGAGATCAAATTTGTGCCGTTTGCTGTTCTCTGCTTACTGAGCAGGACGTGCAGGGAGGGCTTTCAACATCCCAAAATAACCCTGCACTCATTTATCAAAAACTCTGCTGATAAAAATAATGCCAGCTCGCAGAAAGGCAGCCTCTCCTCCAGAAACAGCCAACTTTCCACTTTCAAAACCTATTTTTGTTTTCAAAACCTAACTTTGAAATCCTATTGCAAGAGCCACACAGGGAAAGGCAGTGAAGGAAAACAATCTGATTTTCTGAGCAGCAATACGTTCATGAGTTATTTCCCTGGACTGTGTCACCAGAAACATGCAGAAAAATCTGTCAAAGTTTTGTTCTCTCTCAGGTCCTGATGCAGAGTCAAATTTTAAAGTGTGCACCTCAGTTTCAAGCAAGGAACTAGAGTTGTACTTGCCTACAGAGGAACAAGTGATGGTTGTGAGACAGGGGGATACTTTCCCTGCCACCACCCTCCTTTCCTGCACAGTGCATTTTGGAAGTCAGAGTAAACAAGTCATCATTGTTAAGTCTCTGCATCACACCATTATGAAACAGCAATTATATAAATCATTCTAAGAGACAGTGAAAAATATCTCAACCAATACCACAAACTTTCTTTCTCCTCTTGTAGGAAGTAAAGATTGAAGTACCAAAGTTGCACAGTGGATTTTGACATCCAATTACAATGACTTTTCTAAGAACTGGGCATTCAAATCCTTCAGGCAATTACAGAAGCTGGAAATAAACTTTACTGTCATAAGCAAGAGACTCTTGCATATCATAAGGAACTTTTTTTCAGATGATGCTTTTTCCCCTTAAGATGAGGAACAAAGCTCTCCTTGAAAGTGTCAATCCTTATTTGCAGCAGTTGTAACAGCAGCTTTTATGCACCCAAAGGATGGGAGAGTGCATCCAGCACCAGGCAGTGAGGCATTAAAGCAGGCAGAGATTCTCCTTGAGGTGGCCTCCAGCTTTTACATTTTAAGTTAGAAAACTATTCCCAAAAAAGGTTCAGATTAATTCCTCCCTGTTCCAGTTTGACCTCTATTTAACATGAAAGGCAGCTTCAAAGGGCAGGAGCATTTGATTGCAGAGTTCCCCCTCAGCTATCAGAAACTCATCAGCCCCTTCATCCACCCTGTCAAGCCCATCAGCGACTTCAAGTGGCCTGTCAAAAGCCAAGGTCAGAGAAGCAAGTGAGAACAAACCTGGAGGTTGCCACCAGGGAGACACGGTCCAAAGTTGCTCCTTTAGGTTTGTCCCTTGGCCCCACAGCCCCACTGAGGGCTCTGCTGTGTTGACTCCCAGCTGTGTGGCACATCAGGACACACTTGTGCCTCTCTCCTCCCTTTCTGTCATTCCTTGTCCTTCTGTTTCTCTTCTAACTGTCCTATTCTCATCCACAGGTTTCACTTTGGGATTCTACTGGCCATTTTTGGGTTTCACAGGTACTTGGTGGGGATGCTTTTGTCTGTGTCTTATTTTTTAAACGAGGCCACTGTCCAGGGGCACCTCTGGAAGTACTAGACAGAAGAGATGAGCCACTAACAGGGGTGCACACAACACTTCCTCCTGCAGTTACCATACCACCCACGGGGCAAAAGATGGTGATAAGGTTAGACAAAGAATCATTTTGTGTCACTAACAAAGTAGATTGATTTTAGAAAGATCCTCAATATTCTTCTTAGTAGGGTCCTCTAGCAAACAAGGCATTCTGAGCTTGACTTTATAGCTCATTAAGTCAGTTAAAAACCAGTCTATTTTCTTTGCCATGAAAACACAACAATAACAATCAGCATCACCTACCAAGATTGCAAGATTAAGAAAAAAAAGGTCCATAACCCAGATGAACTATACTAATTTTTTCTTACAAATATCATCCATCATTTTTAATGACCAAAACTGAGCTTTAATATGGAATGATCTTCTCACAATTGATTCTTCTTTCACTTTGGGCAACAAAAGTTTGTACTTGGTTTTGGTGGTAGAAATTTTCTAACCAACTTTCCAAGTCTTTTTTCTGACACACTCTGTTACAATGAAGATATCTGCATGGGTTATATTCATTCCATTACTGCTTCTGATACCATTTAGTGAAGCAACTGTTATCTTTTGAACTTGCACAGACTATAACTTAGATAAATTCTGAGTTCAATCTGGTTTGAAAATTCTTTGTAAAAACGTGTCAGGCGGTTCCCCTCCCCCAGGGAATGAAAATGGTTAAATCAGTACCAAAAACCTTTTCCTGAAACCTGTTAAATCTCTGTACTTTTAGAGCACTCCCATGTTTCTGCTGCTTTTGTGCATGTAAGACAAGAAAAAAATGCTGCAAATCATGGAAAGATCCATTTCAAAACCACATCTCTTAACTGCAAGACTCAAGAGGGCCAGAGTTCAGCTTGATAAACTCAGCAGGTATCAGCTTAACTTCAGCTGGTAAACCAGCCCGTTTCTCTTCCTCCCATACCCTCAGAGGAAATATTTCTGTCCTGTGTTTTGGTTCAAGAAATATGGTATTACTCATTTTAATCTACTTCAAATCAAAACACCAATTTTTGCTTTAGCTACATGGTATCTGCACAGGGAGGTCATGCCATAATTGAGCAATTTCTTGTGTCATACTGCAGCATTGATCCCATTCCACTCCCACTGATTTCCACAGAAACTGGGCCAGATTGTGCAACTGCAAATATTCATAGTCTGAAATAGTGCTTTAATCCTATTTTTATGTATCTTTTGGACCAATGACCTAAATAATGTACCTGGGGGGGGGAAATAAAAAAAAAAACACAAACCACGACTCACCTCAAAGATTTAAACTGATACAGAACAGACAGCATTGATTCCAAATTTACCTTTTTAATGAATGCCACAGAGAATGTATCCCACGATACAATCCCATGATCCATCAGCTCAACAAATGCAGTCAGTGTAAAGGACAACATATCTCCAAAGCTGCAAGAGACAGGAGTCATGACAACATTTACCAGTAATGCAGCAGGGCAGTGACTGAAGGGACAGGGCAGCAGGAAGCTTTCAGCAAGGCAGGCAAGAGAAGCCAGTTATGAACTAAGAGGCAGCAGAAGAGCAAGAGAGGCCGTGCAACAGAGAGTCTCCAAAGCAATTTAGCATGGACATCAAGGACAGGCACCTGGAAGAAAGCAGTTTTGTAAGAGAAGAACTAATCCCTAGGAGAACAGCACATGCAATGCTCAAGGAAATCTGAGAGTTTGAATTAAACTTTTTAGAAACTCAGAGTGTTAGATCTAACAGAAGAAAAGAAGTGACCCTGTTCTCAGCAACTTATAGGATATAGCTCCTAACTGTCATACAGAAGTGCCACATTTTGGCACCTATCAAGCAGTTTGGCATAAAGTTACAGTGGATTGTTTGTTCCTTCTCTTACAAGGAAGCAAACGATTTTTTAAATGCACCAGAAGAGTTTTTCTACTAAGCAGCAACTTTCCAATAGTTAATTGGAATTCAATTTTCCAATACTTAATGCCTTGATTTCTTTCTTTGAACCTGAAGATGCATCTCCTTTTCTTCACCTTTTGAAAAAGTTCCCACAGCTTATCCAGCCCTGGTTAAACTACTGTTGAGGGTTTGCAGGTCACTCCACTGCTTTTTATAGCTGTAAATTCAAGCTCAGATCCATCTGGGTATGAATTGAACTAAACTCAAAATAGATTTAAACTCAACATAAAGGACATGCTCTAACCTGACTGGCTGCACAGGAATTTTCCATGGTAAAAAGCAGCTTTTGAAGATGAGCTTCATTTCTGTATCTAGTCAGGGCACCAAGCAGCAGCTGTAATGATTTCACTGAAGCTGCTCAGGGAAGTAACTGCACAACACAAGCAGCTCATGGAGCCCCAAATGAAGCAGTGTTATTACCCTGAAGGACATGTCAAACTGCCTGCAAGGTGCTCTGCCACTGAGCCATCAAAAAGCACAAGCACACACTCAATCTACACAGCACCAATAGTCCCTGTGATTCGAATGCAAAAGTTTGCCTGATAAAAATTTATAAAACCCCTGAGGTTGGAACTGCAAAGCTCATGATGTTGAAAACGTGGGTCTAATACTTTATAGTCATAGTTTAACAGTGTAATGGGTAGTCCTGCCCCAACCCAAATAAGTGAACATCTCCTCAGATGGAAGATATTTACAGCAGTAGGGCAGAATAAGGCAAAAAAAAAAGACTTTCAGTGTAGCAACTCCAAAAATCGGTTTACTGGATTTGATATAATCTCTCATTTGGGGATTTCTGATTGTGGGATGCAGCCTATAGTGGCCCCTTCATTTCAGAAAGGAGCTCTTGTTCATGAGAACTCCAGAGCTGCCCTCCATAAAAAATAAGTTTGCCATTCTTAACATTTTTTGTGAGTGAAAACACAAAAAAAAAACCCCAAACTACACCTTTCTCTTCCACAATGAGTGGAGGTATCAGCATTGACTTTGATTATTTATGACAAACTGAAAAAAATGCACCAAAAAGCAAAGAAAAAATCTTCTTAAAAATCCACTGTAATTCTGCACGGAACATTTTGTTCAGCAAATACACAAGCAAAGAAAAAATCTTCTTAAAAATCCCCTGTAATTCTGCATGGAATATTTTGTCTTTTTAAAAATCCCCTGTAATTCTGCACAGAATATTTTGTTCAGCAAATACACCACCTAGAAGGCTTTGGTTTTGTTTGGGGTTGGTAGTTTGCTTGTTTGTTAATATTGCAAATATTTAAGAATCAATTTAGAAGTCATCATTAGCATTCCAAATACCCAAGGATTTGATAACGAGACAGCAATAAGACACTGCAGGAAATTTAATCAGCTCTGGTCCCACCATTTTCCCCAATCCATTCCTTTTGCATCAAATGGTTATTTCTGAAGCTACGAAGAAAAGAGCACCCTTAGGAAAGGTTTCCTTCCAAAAACCTTGCAGGAAATTCTCCTGCAGCTTCAGGACAGAGTAATTCCACAAATATATGGAATTGTGGTATTTTAAGAAGCTAGACTAAATTAGATCCAAAAAAAAAAAGGGGGGGGGGGGGGGAAAATTGTAGGTATATAAAGGTTGAAAAGTAGATAAAAATCTCTCCCTACATTAAACTAGAGCAGATAATTTTTCTCCCCTAGATTTTCTCATATATTGTTGAAAAATTTACTTAGTACAGAAATACTCTTCTACATGAAATCTAATCCCCAGTAACAACAGGCACAGTTTAGAGGGAATACTCAAACTGTATTAAACCTACACATGGATATTCACCTTCAGAACAGCATCATCTGGAATATAAAGAAATGTAACTAACCTGAACTCAACAGTCTCCTTTATTCTTCTCACTAAAACTGATTAATCCTGCCAATTAATCTAGCTTCCTCCACAGCTTTGGAGGAGAACCTGGGTTAATGGAGCTGAAAACACTGGTATCAATGTATAAATCTGGGTTTAGTAGATGTGAGGATGATATAACCCTTTGGGATCCAGAAGGTGAAAGTCCTTTTCCACTTAAACTGATGAGACATCCCACCAGGTGTCACTCCACTGCTTCAAATAATTGATGAGTGTGAAGAGGTGCAACGCTGGGACTAATCAGGCAGCAAGGAACATTCCAACACTGTGCATTATGCAGCACCACACACACTGTGTATTTTTTAAACACTCAGCTATACACATCCACCTGTGCACACCAAGTGGCACTGCAAAAGTCAAAAGCCAGGCTTAAGAGGATCAGCATTAGGAGCAGCACAGCTAGAGATGAAAGCAATCTCCAGGGTAACTAGAGCAAGATAAGGATTAAAGTATCTGGAGGGGGAAAGGAGCAGTGTTGATTTGTTGTTGTGTGTTTAAACACAACTAGGTAGGTAGAAATAGACTGCCAAGCAATTGATTTCAGGACATATATGCACAGACCCAATCATATTATTAAGAGGAGCAGACAATAAATGTTAGAAACTTTAAGGGGATCAAAGCTTGTTCATCAAAGGAGTAATCTTTGAAAATATGCAATAGGAGCAGTGGTTTAGTCGTGAAAAAAGTCTGAAAAATAATGGGGCATCCTCTTCATAAAAACTTTTTTAGACTAATCCACAGCACAAGGCAGTTCTGTAAATATCAGACCCTCTCTGCTCTGGCACAATGGCTCCATCGTTTGCAGGTAATTCCTGAATAAGATGCTTTTCACTGCCAGAGGAGAAAAAGTTCTTACACTGATGAAGTTCCCC